TTTTTTTTTTTTTTTTGGTGCAACTGTGTTTGCCAGTGGAGAATTGCCATTTTTCATTAGGAATTGCTTTTTTCTTTTTTGAAGACTTTTTTTTTCTTTTTTAAACTTGGAAGAAAGGTGCTGCGTAGTAGCATTGGATACTTAGATTGTATGTATAATAAAATAGAAATAAATATTATTAAGGTTACTGTTTATTGATAATACTTTGTGATTATTATCTAATAATGTACTTTTAGAAACAACAAGAGCATTTTGATTTTCTTTTCTTTTCCTATTTCTTTTTATTTGCCAACTGAAGAGGGATTGCAATAGATGAAATTGTGTGTAAAAGTTAATCCGAGCCTCACGCTTTGCGAAATTGAGATGAAGCAGGGCCGCCGTTGCGAAGTTGATTCCATAGTGAAGATGTGTGTGCTGAATTTCGAGTCTCGTTGTAGGCTGCGCCTGTTGAGGAAAGATTCTTCCAATGCTCTCTTTGATTGAAGCATATACTTGATCTTGATTGTATAAAGCTGACAATGAGTTTTATTTTAGTGGCAGAATTTTTTGGCTAGTCTCTAATGGAAAATACCTTATTTTTTTGTTTCATGGCCAGTTCTAATGATGATTCGAAATGCTGGCTGGAGCTCTTCCAAGAGCCTGAAAGTCTATCGGCTAATTTGATCGTAAAGCGTTGCAGTTTAACCAAATTTTGAACTCTTTGCTCGATGGGGTTTCCACATATATCTCCTTGAAAAGACTTGTAAACTTGAAAAATATTTACTATCCACAACGTTATGTGCTTATTTCCTTTTTGTTTCTCCTTCGTCGGGATTTTTGATTTGTTTGCAGCTTTGTGATTGTCGGGTTTTAGCATGCATTTGTTTTCTTTTGTTTCCAATTCACCAGATTCATAACTATCTCAAATGCTGGATGGAGCTCCTTAGCTAGTGCCGAATTGCAGGTTATCGCACCTTAGAATTGTGAAAACTTATGAAGTGGACTCAACAGAGCACGAGCTTGGGTTGTTTAGATATCTGTCGATATATGTTGAAGAAAGCTCAAATAACGAGTCTTTCAAAAGATGGAACTACACTTGAGAATTTGATGCTATTTGGAGGATTTGATCAGACGTGTTGATCAAACAAGTCCTTTTTTTTTTCGTAATAATTTTGAAAATATTTTGAATAAAATATATATTTAATTCAAATATACTGAAATTGATATAAAAAAAAAAAGACACACAAAAAAAAAAAAGAGTCCTTCAAAAGGTGGAACAACACTTCATGAGAATTTGATACTATTTGATGGATTTGAGACGTGTTGATCGAGAACTATCTTTTGTTTTTTTAATAATTTTAAAAAGATTTTAAATAAATAGATGTTCTTTTAATTAAATTACCCTAATCACAATTTTGAAATTAAAAAAAAAAAACACTAAGTTTAAAACATTTATTTTTTTATTTTAAAATTTTAAGTATTGATTGTTTATTAGCACCTCCCTACTATATATACACACGCATTATATGATATTTTAGAATTTGAAGGACTCCTTTTGCCATCCATCTTCAACCTTGAGCAGCAACTGTCCTTCAAAACCCTACCCGCCAACTCCTTTTCGTCTTCTTAATCATGGCCTCAATCGACAGGCTCAGCGCCTTGTCCGACAAAATCATCTCTCGCATCCTCTCTTTTCTCCCCTTCGAAACCTCTCTCTCCGCCAGGACCCTCTCCGCGAGATGGAGGCGTGTATGGGCCTATGCCCCTAACATAGAACCCCCCGGAGGTTCCAGCCCGTATACAATTTCCGAACGCACGGAATTTGTACGCACGCTGACAAAGATTCTGTCCCAATGTGAAGCACACAGCGTGAACAGACTTCGTCTCCCAATGCTCAACTGCAACGAGCATGAACTTGAGTCGTGTCTCGAGAGCGCCTTTGCGTGCAACGTGAAAATTCTCGATCTTACTTTGCCTTTTAACCTCAATATTATGCCCCCTTGCGTCTTCACATCTAAGACCCTAGTTGACTTGACGATACAATATTTGCATGTTGAGATGAAGATGGGCGCTGTGTGTTTACCAGCCCTTAAGAGGCTTTGTCTCAAGTCCGTAAACCTTCAGCTTGGTTGCTCCCTCGAAAGCCTGATTTCTGGCTGTCCCGTGCTTGAAGATTTGACTCTTGAGGTCTGTCATCTTAATGAAGACGAAAATGTGGAATGCCATTGCATATCTTCCACCACTATCAAGAGGTTGGGTTTCCGTGGTGCCTCAACTTCCACTTCCAGGTTGAAGCTTGATACGCCTAATTTGATTGAAGCACGTGTTGATGTTTGGTGCGTCGATCATCCTCATTCTCTTGTGGAACTGGTGGGTAGCTTCTCTAATGTAAAAGAAATGAAATTATGCCCTTGGGGGAAGGTAAACTTATCATTCGCCATCTCTTTATGCTTTTATTTTTTAATTTTTTTTTTATTTTTTTGGTAATCTTTGTTTCACTGCAGATTCCAGACTTAACACCTGTTGATTTGAACATTGAGTTGCACAATTTAACCAAACTCATGGTGGAAGGTGATTGGCGTTTCATCTCATATTTTGTGGAGAAGGCTAACAAGCTTGAAGTCCTTAATGTCAGTACGATTGTTTTGTCCGTATTTCCAACTTGTATAGTTATATGTGATTGATGACCCGGCTTTGTTCTGCATTTGTTTTCTATTTGTTTCATAATCAGGTCATACAATATTTAGAACCTGAATTGGAGATGCAAGAATGGGAGATGGGAGAAACCCTCCATTCGCCTATGGCTAATTCAATCATGAAGCTTGACAATTTAACAAAACTCGAAGTAGAAGTCGATTGGTGGTTTCTCGCATATTTCCTAGAGAAGGCTGACAAACTTAAAGTCCTTATCATCCGTAATGTACGCCATTTCCTCTTTATTTATCTTTTGTCACGATTTTATACAACTTGTTCCCATTTTTATGTACTCAGTGATACTTGTTTACATGTCTGTTTCATTTTCAGGTTTATCATAAGGATAACAGATTACCCTGGTTGTCAGCGCCTCTCCAAGTACCCCTCCAAGTGCCTAATTGCATGTCATCACATCTTAAAATAGTACAAATTCATGAGTTGGATGGTACAGATGAGCATGAACTTGACATGGTTAGATATCTCTTGAAGAATGCTAAAGTCCTCGAGAGGATGGAACTACACTGGTGCGAGGAGATGGAACGACACTGTATAGCAGAATTGATTGGGAGGATTTCATCATTTGATCGAGGATCTGAGATGTGTGAGATTGTCTTCAACGAATATCTGGAATTGGGCAAGCTAACACTCGACGGCTGAGGGTATTTTCATAAGTTTAGTTGACAATTGTCATCATATATCACTCACTCATTCATGAGTTTTCTGTGACCAATGTTATTATCCTTTTCTTGTTGCTATTGGTGAATTTTCGTGGACAGGGTTGTGGTTATGAATACGCTAAACAATCAGTATATTTTAAAAATAAATATATATTTTATTCAAAATATCTTCAAAATTATTATTTAAAAAAAAAAGAAGAAGAAAGAAAACAAACGCATGCAAGAACTCGGCCATCACAAAGCCAAAAACAAATTATGTTGCAAAACTCTAAAGTAGCTCCAGCCAGATTGACCTCGAAAATTAACCTAATCACAATTTTGGGGAAGTTTATTTAATTAAAATATAAAAAATTGTGTGGCCAAAAACAAAAATAAAAAAAAATGTTGTGGACAAGAATCAAAAAGGCGGATATTGAGAATCCGTTTTTCAAAAAAAAAAAAATTATTTGAAAAACGAATTTTCATAATACGTTTTTTTTTAATAAAATAATAAAAAAATATTTTTTTGCCCTAACGTTCATTACAAGAAAGAAGTTGAATACCAATAGAATTTTTCCAGAAAGTCAAAAAAAAGCCAGCAAGGAAAATCCTGCTTGAGATGGAGAACCTGACTTCAGTCCAATAAGAAGAAGATGGCAAAGGAATGATAGCATGCAGTTCCGATCCGATGAGAGATATTCCATAAGCTAGGAGTTCGATCTGAATCTTCAAATGACAGATTCCCAGGTTTGATTGCTGCTTCGAAAAAAGTATAGTCGTCAATTGAATCGAACCTCTCCTTTTAGTCGAGACTCACTTCGTTCTCCTTACGCTACGATCTTTTTTGAAAAGAGCGCTTTTTAGCTTCCTATCAATACTTCGGTTTTCAAGACCGACTCTTTCAACTAACTAGACCAGAGCGCATAAGCCCAACTAAAGGCTTTTTCTATCCAAAATCAATCGTCATTGGACGAAGTCCATCGAATTAGAAGAAATGATAATCAATGAATCGAACTAATTTATAAAACGGATTTTCAAAATCCGTTTTTAATAAAAAAATATTTTTTATTTAATTTTTTTGTATAAAAATTTATTTTATATTTATTTTTTTATAAAAATTAATTTTTAATATAAAAAATTATTTTTTAAATAATTTTTTTGTATAAAAATTTAATTTGTAATAAAAAAATTGCTTTTTATTTAAATTTTATTTGTATAAAAATTATTTTTTAATAATAAAAAATATTTTTATTTTTTTGTATAAAAATTTATTTTTTAATATTTTTTTATTTAAATTTTTTTGTATATAAAATTATTTTTAAATAAAAAATCCATTTTCAAAATCTGTTTAAAAATCGGTCTATTTCGTATTATATTTTTTATTTAATTTTTTTAAACCAAAAAGTCGAATTTAAAAATAAAATAAAAAAGTAATTTATAACTCGAATTAGTCCAATTGAGATCAAATTAGTACAATCTCGGTCAATTGTATTGTAATCGAACTCGAATTAGTCCAATCGAGGTCAAATTAGTACAATATCGGACAATTATAGTGTAATCGAACTCGAATTAGTCTAATTGAAGTCAAATTAGTACAATCTTAGTCAATTATAGTGTAATCGAACTCGAATTAGTCCAATTGAATTCAAATTAGTACAATTGAAGTCAAATAGTACAATTGAACTCGAATTAGTCCAATTGAACTCGAATTAGTCCAATTGAAGTCAAATTTGTACAATTAAAGTCAAATTAGTACAATTAAAGTCAAATTAGTACAATCTCGGTCAATTATATTGTAATCGAACTCGAATTAGTCCAATTAGTACAATCTCGGACAATTATATTGTAATCGAACTCGAATTAGTACAATTCACATCCAATTAGTACACTCTCGGACAATTATATTGTAATCGAACACGAATTAGACCAATTGAACTTAAATTAGTAAAATTGAAGTCAAATTAGTACAATTGAACTCGAATTAGTCCACTTGAACCCGAATTAGTCCAATTGAACTCAAATTAGTACAACTGAAGTCAAATTTGAACAATTGAAGTCAAATTAGTACAATCTCGGACAATTATATTGTAATCAAACTCGAATTAGTCCAATTCAGGTCCAATTGGTAAAATCTCGGACAATTATATTGTAATCGAACTCGAATTAGTCCAACTGAAGTCAAATTAGTGCAATCTTGGTCAATTATAGTGTAATCGAACTCGAATTAGTCCGATTGAACTCAAATTAGTACAATTGAATCAGATTAATACAATTGAAGTCGAATAAGTCCAGTTGAACTCAAATTAGTACAATCTCGGTTAATTATAGTGTAATCGAATTCGAATTAGTCCAATTGAACTCAAATTAGTACAATTGAAGTTAAATTTGTACAATTGAAATCGAATTAGTCCAATTGAACTCGAATTAGTCCAATTGAACTCAAATTAGTACAATTGAAGTCAAATTTGTACAATTGAAGTCAAACTAGTACAATTGAACTCAAATCAGTCCAATTGGAGTCAAATTTGTACAATTGAAGTCAAACTAGTACAATTGAACTCAAATTAATCCAATTGAAGTCAAATTAGTACAATATCGGTCAATTATATTGTAACCGAACTCGAATTAGTCCAATTGAGGTCCAATTAGTACAATCTCGGACAATTATATTGTAATCGAATGCGAATTAGTCCAATTGAACTCAAATTAGTACAATAGTCAATTATAGTGTAATCGAACTCGAATTAGTCCAACTGATCTCAAATTAGTACAATCTCGGTCAGTTATAGTGTAATCGAACTCAAATTAGTCCAATTGAACTCAATTTAGTCCAATCTCGGTCAATTATAGTGTAATTGAACTCAAATTAGTCTAATTGAAGTCAATTTGTACAATCCCGGTCAATTATATTGTAATCGAACTCGAATTAGTCCAATTAGTACAATCTCAGACAATTATATTGTAATCGAACTCGAATTAGTCCAATTGAACTCAAATTAATACAATCTCGGTCAGTTATAGTGTAATCGAATTGAATTAGTCTAATTGAACTCAAATTAATACAATTGAAGTCAAATTAGTACAATTGAACTCGAATTAGTCCAATTGAACTCGAATTAGTACAATTTCGGTCAATTATAGTGTAATCAAACTCGAATTAGTCCGACGAAACACCGAAAGTCGCCTTATTAATAAGTTAATATATATATATATATAGAAATCTATTCCCACGAGAATTCAAGTTTCTCTAATTAAATGCTCAGAACTCTGAAATACTTGATAAATACCCCGCATGACATCGTGCCTGAATTATCTACACGTCCCAACTCGATTTTTGGTAAACCGAAGTCACACGCATCCTTGCGGGACCCACGTAAATGACTTTTTCATTTATTTTATTAATATGCACCCTCGAACTCGAGCTTCTCTAAATAAATAATCGGACCTCGAGATAGTAAATCGACGTCACAAACGGCTTCTCCTCTTATCCTGCTTTCTCGAAAGCACTTTTCGTTAATGCTCAACTCACTTATCAAAGCCCGACGGAACACCGCAAGGTCGCCTCATTAACTAAGCTAATATATATAGCAATCTATTCCCACGGGAATTCAAGTTTCTCTAATTAAATGCTCGGACCTTCGAAATACTCGATAAATGCCCCGCATGACATCGTGCCTGAATTATCCACACGTCTCAACTCGATTCTTGGTAAACCGAAGTCACACGCGTCCTTGCGGGAACCACGTAAACGGCTTTTTCATTTATTTTATTAATATGCACCATCGGACTCGAGCTTCTCTAAATAAATGATCGGACCTCGAAATAGTAAATCAACGCCACAAACGACTTCTCCTCTTCTCGTGCTTTCTCGAAATCACTTTTTGTTGATGCTCGACTCGCTTATCGATGCCCGCCGGAACACCAGAAATCGCCTCATTAAATAAACTAATATATAGCGAAAATTAAAGAAAATTAAATATAAATAATTAATTTTATTTGTAAAACATATTTTTGTAATACGTTTTACAATTAATTAATTCTTAAACGTATTACAAAAATACGATTTACAAATAAATATAAATTATTATATTAGTTTAATTGTAAAACGTATTTTGAAAATACGTTTTACAATTAAGTGTAAATTATAAAATTAATTTAAAAATAAAAACGTATACCGAAAATAAGTTTTACAATGTAAAACGTATTCCCAAAATATGACCTTTTGATTTTTGTCCATACTTTTTTTTTCTTTTTATTTTTGTCCAGCTATTTTTTTTTTAATTTTTATTTATATAAAAAAATCCACAATTTTGATGAAAAAAAAAAAAACTATAATTTTAAAACCTTTTTTTTAATTATAAAAAGGAAAATTGCACTATCTGTTCACCAACTATACTCCCGTTGCACTTTCGTCATCTAATTGTTTCCGGTTTAGTTTTGGTACTGTTTGTAGTATTTTTGGGCATGTGGTAACCGAGCTACCCGACCCGGGTTGTTCTCAAAGGAAGGCTATTCGGACACGGATTCAAGCAACGATCGACTCACACAAAAAAAGAAAATAAAAATTCTAAGCACTCTACTCGCAATTTGGGGTTTGAAATGAACTAAAGAGAGCAACTTTAAACTAAACGAGAGCAAGATTCAACATTAATCGCAAGCAAGTCCTCAAATTGCAAGAAAAAGGAAAATAAAAAGAGAAATAACAAGGTACTCCTAGACCCGAGATGGAAAGAAGGCACTCATAGGTTCGGGAATATGCAATCAAACAATAGTCACTCGTGATCAATTAATCTCTCAATCAATTCTCGCTCACGCAATCAATAACAATATCACATAATCCCTAGCCTACGAGGATGATAGCATAATCGACTCATGGATGTGCATATATTAACCCTAGAATAACTCAATAAGTAAAGACAAGCAAGACTAACGAAATCATGAACCTTAAGCGAAGTTTCCACGTCTCTAATGCATCCACGAGAAGAAATAAGCCGAAAAGTTGTAATCTTGATGGAGAAATATTACAATTAAAAATAGGGTCTTGGAGCCCTTAGAGAGAGGAACAAAGTTAGAGAGAAGGGAGAGAAAAACTAAGAAGAGAAAAATTTAGCAAATGAGGAATTCTCCCAAATTACAAAGCAAGATGTCTATTTATAGCTACACCACAAACACACACTAAAACACACACATTTAATGATAGAAACTCGCAGGATAGGTTGAACTCGCTAGATAGATCTTGATTTTCGAGGGCTCTAATCTGGCCTTGGCTTGACTTTTGAAGCTCGATTAGCTCTAACTTCTTGCACGGTTATCCAATTGGCTTGAAACTTGGACCCACGGTTCTCAAATCTCGTTCTCCTCGTCTTGAGATGTGTAAATGGGTGTCACCATGCAATTAATGAATATGCTCGGAATGGCTCAGAAATGGCCCGTGTGGCTCGAACATGGTTCCGACGACTTGAAAATGTCTCGGAAATGGCTCGTCTTCCCAAGGGAGAATAATGTGGACCTAAACAACACCAAAAAGACAAGAAAAGTACGCCAAACCACAAAAACACAATACGATAAGAAAAATGTAAGAAACACGATAAAATGGACCGGTCGACCCTAAAACGAACCTAAAAACACTAAACTAAAACACATAAAACACACGAAAATAAGCACAAAAACACAATAAACCGGTACACTAACTTTTTTTGGGTAATTTTAGTTCAAATCGACATTCTGGTGTTTATTTTTGCCGGAAAAGCTGACGTAGCGCCCAGTCAGATCGTAGTTTTGATTTCCGACATGATATGGCACGAGATGGGCCCAAGTTTTTGGACACATGGACACATAAAGGACGAAAGTGCAATGATGATATAATTAGTGGACAAATAGTGCAATTTTTCCACAAAATAATATCTATGATTCTATATATATATAATAAGAATTACCATTTTTAAAAATGGCAAGTTAAAGTTCAGTCAACATTAATTACCTTCTTAGTAACTCTTTTATTTGTGTTTTTTTTTAAAAAACAAAAATTCAAGAAGCATTAAATGATGCCTATATTGGTGGTTTGGTTCCATTAAGTTCTGAAAATTTCGATCATTTGAATATAACTAGTGCAGAACCCGTGCGATGCACGGGGCAGTATAATTTTTGGAGAATTTTGGAGAATAATATAATATAAGATGACATGTATTAGGATCGAAAGAATTATAATACATAAGAACATTTTATTAAAAAAATAAGATTGTTTCGTCACGAAACAATCATATATTATTAAAAACCTCTTTGTACACAACATTATGAGTTTGGTTATTAGGTAGCTCATTATTATCACAAACTAATATCTACAACTCTCTTCTATTAGTTACACGTGAAACAACAGCATATAATTGGTCGTTACTAAAAACAGGTTTCTTCAGGAATAGACCAACGTGCGATAAAGACTGTCCTTGATTCTTATTTATGGTCATGGCATATAAAACCACAAATGGGAACTGTCGTCGTTGGAACTTAAATTGTACCCGTGTATTAGATGGAATGATATTCATCCTAGGACGCGTTCTCTTTTCTGAAAAAAGTAGAACAAAATTTGTGTACATTTACCCATTAGTTGGAACAAATAAAAATAAATATCTATAATTTAAATAATATACAATTGTGTATCTAGTTTAAAAGAAATAAAACAATTTATTTCTTAAACGAATACAATATAAAAGCATATTTTTATTTGATTTGATATTAATTAGTTTTATCTATTATGTATTATATAATAATTATTGTTTTTATACATAATATTTATATTTTGTTGCCATTTATTCTAAGCATTTTATTCTTTATGTTGAGCCAACCTCAAAAAATCTAATCAAAACATGTTACATTAATAAATTTTTCGGCCCAGTTAACAAATCAAACTACAAAAATGGTCAACTTGTAATTCAAATGGTCCTGAAAAAATTTTCGGACCAGTTAAAATTTTCGGCCCAGTTAATCAAACAGTCTAAAATAGTCAACTTGTAATTCAACGGACGGATGTGAGTTTGGAGATCTATAAATACAGTCTCATTTCCGATAAAGTAGGGTTTCTCATTTTTTTTTTCTGCTCGTTCTCTCTCGCCGCCTATACACATTTGTGGAAAAAATTCTCACAAATCTGCCGCCCTCTACAGAAATCCTGTTTTTTTTATGATTCATATTTCGTTTTGCCTTAGGATCGAAGCACGGATACTCGCGATTGTTCATAGATACTTGAGTCTGATTTCAAAAAATGAAAGAACAAAAATACATCGGCCTAATATCTGTCGCTTTTTTATTCAAGGTAATTAAATATTTTTTCATGTTCTTGGTTTGATTGGGCTTTCATATTATGCACGGATCTAGTTAAATTTTTTGAATTTCGTAAAAAAAAGTAATAAATCTTATATTCTTACTTAGTTTTCAACCAGAAATTGACAGATTCAGGTTACAAAGTTTTGTTGTAGTTAACAAATTTATATGATTGTCAATTTTTTAAAAGTTTTTTTATCAAGATATAATTTATTTATTGTGATTTTACAGTTTTTTTTTTTTCTTTAACAGATCAATAACAAATTTATTATGATTGTCATGTACGCACTTTGATGTAGTTCCCAAATTTTCCATTAGTGGAGCAAAATGAATAAAGGTATGAGAACTTGTAGCAATACAAAAATGTCATTTCTGCATGTTGTATATTGAACTTTTTTCTCTTATATTGTATTCGAAATGTTGAAAATCATATTCTAAAAATGTTGAATTTCAAGCATTCCGATTGTTATATGATGTCTGGCATTGTAGAACTATATAATGACTAAGTAATATATTTTTTTTTAATGTGCGAGGAGGAGTTAAATAGTTCATATACTACAAAGTGATGTAAAACAGTAAGTCACATAATTCAGCAACATTATTCAGGCATGTTCTTACAATTTTGTTCAGTTTGTCATATTTCAGCACATCATTATCATATAGTATAGTATACTGTCTTTCTATTTTGTATTAGCTCTCATTTTTTATTTTTTTTTTATGTTTGATCTTTGATACATTAATAAGTGGAGAAACATAACTTGAAGGTGAAGATGCTGCCAGCGAAAATTCTTGAAAAGTACACCAAAAAACACTGATTTGTTATGGTTTATTGGTACTAATCACCTCTACCTTTTAAATTTGAGGTTTTGGAATGCATCAACAGAAGAAAAAGAGGAAACAACTACCAGACAAAGTGAAGAAAAATAACACGACTAACGGGTAAGTTTATTCATTTAATGAATATCTTTTATTTAAGCTTTAAAACATATTTGTTACAAACATAACAGATTTTTTAATCCTATATTGATATTAATATACTATGTACTTAACTTGTTTTGTTTTGTTTTGATTTTTTTTTTATTTTTTTATGTTCATGCCTGATTTGTAATGAGACCACATGAGATTGATCTAAAAGGTAACAGAAGCACACCAAACTGTAAAGGAGACAAAGGTAAAAATAAAATATGTCATCTTCATTCATTTTTTTCTACTCATAAGTATTGTCGTTAACTCGTTGAATTATTAGCTACTCATGTTGACGTGTATTTCCGCTAACAGAACCACCGAAGCGATGGTATGTAACTGAATGTATATTAAGTTACTTGTGATAGTTTTAACTGAAAAAAGCTCATGTGCAGAGAGATGTTTTTGGTCGAGATTGCAATGATTTTGAGATTTGAAAACGAAAGGTTTGGACTGTAATCATTCGCTTCTCTCAATATTAATGGAATTTTGGGATTTAGATTTTGAAGATAATGAATTTAGGATTTAGGTTTTGAATTTAATACACTACATTAAAACAACTTTGTTCAAGCTGACCTACTATTTTTATTTGAGAAAATGTGTGTCACGTCAACTAAATTGCTGGACAAGTTGGCTCAGTTCGACGGAGACCGAGCAATGCTTCGTTTTGAAAAAATAAAATAAAATGTTAGGTATCGAAATGCCAATATCTAAAAGTCTTGAAAGAAGTGTGAAAATCGATAAAGTCTTGAATTCAGATACAATTTAGCGTAAATTAAATAATATAAATAAAGTTACTTTTAATACAAAAAAATACAATTTAATATTCCAAATAAAAATAGGTAAAGTAAAATATATAAATAAAATTAAATAACATATGAAAAAAAAAAAAAAAAAAAAA